ATTAGAACATGTGGTTCGTAGATGCAAAATAATAATCGAGAGAGCCTATTTCTAGTTTATTTTCTTCTTTTTAGGGATGTGGACATGGACTAAAATTTACAAAAATTAATACGCCCTTCGAGGTGTTATTGATAGCAGCTGAAAACTCTCGTATGAAATTACCAATCGAAGTAAATCAATTTTTTTCTGTAAAAAAATGTGGCATTGTATCTTTTCTTGAATTATTTTAGAAAATTGATAAAAAAACTCAATTACAAAAAGAATCGACTGGTTGGAAAAAGATACGAAATTATCTAAGAAAACCGTTTGAACTTGAAGAAGGATTTATTAAGAATGAACCAGATTATTATACGGCTGTTTATACAACAGCATTAAGACCAAAATTTGAAGAATTATTCACAACGTTACGTGGGTCAATAGATAATTATTTCACACCATCTGAAAGAAGTTTATTAACATATGAATTACTTTCACGTGCGCGATACGAATATCAGGACATTCAAAATGGTAACTATTGTCACTGTAATCTTCAAAATTCAGAAACTATTTTTATCCCTTGTAAGGATTACAGTTGGCCATGCCAGTTTACAATAGTAATGCAACGATCAAAAAAACCGATCGTAGAGGTAAATCAGTCTTATTCTATCTGCTGAACTCTATTTTGATCTATTGTTTCTCTGAAAGTTAAAAATAACAAATTTTTTTTTATTAAATTTACGTATGTTTTAAATATTATAGGAATTGATCGATTAATTAATAAAAAAGCCTATTTGGATTATTATCCATTACATGAAGTGAGTATATGCAGTTGAAAACCACAAGAAGAATCTCTATACTATGTTATTGGATTATTAACGAAATAAACATACAGAGTATAAGTCTTGTATCAAACATAAAAAAACACGTAAAAAAGAAAGAAATTTTAAGAAGTTAAAATATTGAATATCTTGAAACTTGTGCACTTCTTGCATCAAGATCTTGCTAATCTTTGAATTTGCGTTTGTTTCACACTTTTTTCATAGCTGCAAAAAATTTTCATACTCTGAATAACTTTAAACTTTTTTTCTTACAAACTATCATCGAGGGGAAGAGCTAGATGATTCTCTACGATAGTATATCCGACAACTATATGGCCATCATACACCCAAGGAAAATGTAGAAGGAATAAATATTTATTAAAAATCATAGAAAACTTTACTACTAAGATCTTCAAACAACTCGACTGGATCACTCATAAGATTTTGAGTGTAAAAACCGAAATTTAAGATCTTGACTAATTAGTGTTTTTATTCGATATCTTGTGACATTTCTTAATCCAAAATCTTGCTTAAAATGATGGTTACACAAAGTTTTGCTGAAGCAATCGGCAAAAAGTGTCATACTTAAAATTCGAGTGCTTTCATTCGTTTGGATTTTCATCTACTAATAGTCTTCTAATACAAGATTAAGATAAGTTACTTGTTTTACTTATAGAGCTTAGGTGATACTTCTGGTCGTCCTTATCAATCACTCAATGATCGTGAGGTAATTCATCAAATTTTAAAACACCATAAAATATTATTGAAAATTTTTATTGGTCTGTTATAGAAGTTACAGAAACATTGGGCTACAATGAAAAAATTTTATAAATATCAACCATTAGATTTAATTCGATCATATTTTGGTGAAAAAGTGGGTTTTTATTTTGCTGCTGTTGGATTTTATAGTCAGATGTTAATATTACCCGCTATTGTCGGTTTGATTATATTTATTTATGGTGCCGCAACTGTGCTTACCGATACACCCACGTGAGACTAATGTGAAAGGAAGAGACGTAAATATATTTTATTGATGTAAAATTTATTTCTAGATCCGATATATGTGATAGAAATGGTGCCGGCAACTACACCATGTGTCCTCCTTGCGATGTATCATGTAACTATTATCAATTACACGATAGTTGCATCTATTCTAAAGTATGTTCTAAAGTATTATATATTGTAATCAATAAGTTGAAATATTAATAAATCAGAGTCTTTCCTTTTTTTTGTTTGAAGATCTCCTATGTTTTTGATAACACCGCCACTGTTGTGTTCGCTGTTTTAATGTCTCTATGGACAAGATTATTTGTTGAACTATGGAAACGTCGTCAAGCTAAACTTCAATACGATTGGGATTCAATTGACTTTGAAGAACGTAATGAGCCAATACGACAAAAGTTTGAGGCAAAATATCCTGTATCAGATCCTCCCTATATTAATCCTATAACAAGGGTAACTTTTTTAAACGCTATAGTTATAGAAGCTTTTGTATTGTTACTGGCAATTTTAGGTTGAAGAACCATATGTATCTTTTCGTAAGCGTCTTCCATTTTATATAATAGCGGTCATTGTCGTGCTTGTCATGGTACGTGATGTTTATTTTCTGTCTAGAAAAGTGTAAACGATTAACTATTGATCATTTCAATAGGTATCAATTGTATGTGTAACTGTATTTGCCACTGTTGTTTATCGTGTAAATGTTGGCTATTACTTAAAAGCTAATTCAACTACCAAAGAATATGCAGGCATTATTATTACAGTAACAAGTGCAGTTATAAATTTAGTAATTTCATTATTGTTTCAAATATTTTATTATCGGATAGCTAAAAAGCTCACAAATCTTGGTATATAATACAATAAAGGAATACTTGAATGAGACTAATCGATATATCTTTTTCTTTTTAAAGAAGCTCACAAATATCAATCCAGTTTTGATGATTCATTTACAATCAAAATATACTTATTCCAATTTGTTAATTTTTATTCGTCATTATTTTATGTAGCATTTTTTAAAGGAAGGTTTGTTTCGTTCTCTCGTTAAATGATTACTAGAATTGACCATAAAACAAAGAAGTTTGCATGTTTTGTTAAGATTCTTTGAATATCCTTCACGTTACGGTTCTGGGCTTGGTGATTTTACAGAACAGGTAAAAGGCTAGAATAAAAATTGCTTGGCTTATATAACCTGTGTGCAGTTGTTAATCTATCTTTTCTTTCACATTTTTCGTGAAACAGAAAAATATCTATTAAGTTTATTCTGTTAAGTGTGATCCAGCTGGATGTTTAATAGAATTATGCATACAATTGATTATTTTTATGATCGGAAAACAACTTATTAATAATGCAATTGAATTTTTTTCAGCGTATGTATACTCTTCTACATTCATCTTTTCATCGTTAACAATATTTTTTTCTCTTTAATTATAGAATATTTCGTACATGTACAAAAACGCAAACCAATTTAAAACAATGGGAAATTGATTATTATTTAAATGACTTTGATTCCATGACATTATTTGATGAATATTTAGAAATGAGTAATTAAATTTTCAAATTAATCAGAATAAAAAGTTCATTATATTCTATATAATTTTAGTTATTCAATTTGGTTTTGTTACATTATTTGTTTGCGCATTTCCGTACGTATATATTAGATAAATAACTTTATCATAATTAAAATATAACTGTTATTTTATCTTAGACTTGCGCCATTGTTTGCTTTAATAAATAATGTAATAGAAGTTCGATTAGATGCCTGGAAATTTTTATCAAAATACAAAAGACCAGTTGCTTTTAAAGCAGCTGATATAGGTTTGTTATACATTTCACATCAGAGTCTCTAGTATTATTCTCATTTATTTTATTCTTTTATTTATAGGTATTTGGATAACAATTATGAGCGGAATATCTTATCTTGCAGTGTTAACCAATGTATGTATTCTTGCTTTTATTTCTTTTTTTTTATTATCCATCGAGTTTTATTCAGGCATTTGTAATTGCATACACATCTGAATTTATTCCCAAAACTGTTTATCGTTCAACTCAAATGGACTCAACAAGTTTAGTAGGTTATGTTCGTTGGACATTGTCGGCATTCAACATCAGTGATTATAGCAATAGTACAAAACCTGAGGCAAATACAAACGTTACAGTGTGTTAGTAAGTAAACTATCAAAGTCTGAAAGATCGATGCAATTTTGTTATACATTCCTATTTAAGCTATCGAGATTGGCGTCAAACAGAATATCCACATGAGCACACATTAACTTACTGGGAAGTAACAGCAGTACGACTAGCATTTATTGTTGTTTTTGAGGTAAACAAAAATTGATTTGTTTTGTATATACAAACAAACTATGACATTATTAATATTTTATTTTTTCTCCGTAGCATGTCGTTTATTTTACGGTGTATCTTATGCAATGGATAATTCCCGACGTTCCAAAGAAGATTCAAGAGAAAATTGATTATGAAAATTACATTGCTCAACAAGTACGATGGACAAGTTCAACAATAAAAACTCAATTGAAAAATGCTGTTAAAGCGACAGCTGTTGTCTCAGATATGAATAGAATAATGACAGCGGATAGTAATTTAACAGAGAGCCAAAAAGATGACAAAAATGATAATACACGGACACCACATTCGACGGATGAAATATCAATGATGAGATATAAAAATTAATTTTAAATTATAGTCAATAATCTGCATATGTCCCTTTTTATTGTGATTTCTACGCTATTTTTTTGTGATATTTTACGCAATATTTTAAAGAGTAATTTTGATTAACTTCCCAAGTCAAAGAATCTAATTGTAAGATCTTATAAGATTCTTATACGATTTCGTCTGATTTCGTAAGGTTACTATAACAATTCTGTAAGAAACATAGAAACTAATTCTCGATGTAAGATCCTATAGTGATATTTCGTCAGATTCTTGTATGATGTTTATAAGATTTTATAAGATGAATCGGTTTCTATGATTTTCCGTAAAATATTGTAAGATCATGATCTGATTTTTTGACCTGGGTTTCTTTATGATACTAAACTACTTCAGGCTGTTGATTATACAAACAATCATGCGAATTACTTGAATTGAAAACATTCCTGAGTCTACAAAAGGAAAAATTCCATCAAGAACACAAAGACAAATTTCGTAAAATAGCTTTATAATTTTTCTCAAACA